CAGGCACTCAGGGCTTAGGCCCAGGTGCTCAAATCCCTTCCCCCAGGCTGGGCTCAGGCGACCCTCCCTGCAACCTGGGGACCCAGTGTCTGTACCCTAGGACCTCAGCAGGCCAGGCGATGGAACCAGCAGATCCCCAGGGCTGACCTAGTGGGGTTGGGGGACACGGAAGAGGGTCGGAGAGAAAGAAGACAGAGGCGCGCAGGTTCCGTCCAGGAAGTCGGCTGATACACTTTAGTCACGGGCAACAGTGCGGGGCCACAGGGAGAATAAGAGATCGAGAGCTGGGGTTTGGCGTAAATCTTACAAAGTGTATAAAGAATCTGTGTTTCTCTACAATAACAAAAACCAAAGGCTACAAGAGCGGTTGTATATACAAAACACGGAGATATTGCTTCACTTGCAAACAGGTTCCTGACCAGATGGGGCGACAAGACGGGGGCGCTGCGTGCGGGGCGGGCGGGCGGGATCTTCTCCCCGCAGCCTGCAGCGGGTGAGGGCGGTGCGCGTGCGTCGCGGGCCGGGCCGCCGAGGGCCCCTAGAGTCCGCCGGGACCAGGACGCTGGCGCTCGGACGAGGGCTCCGCCCTTCCCGGCGTCGGGAGCGGGCGCTCGGGCGCTGAGCCGGGAGGGCCGTGGGGCGCAGGCGAGGAGGGACGTGCACGCGCGGGCCGTGGGCCGTCACAGGTTCTGGCAGCACTGCAGCTTGTTGGGTTTCTGTCCGTCGGTCGTGGGGGGCACGCTGATGTCCACCACGTTGTTGCCAGGGGACTCGTCATGGGCCGCGCGGTCGGCGATCTGCTTCTGTGACACGATGCGGTAGATTTCTGTGGCGGAGGAGCAGGAGTGAGTGGCTGCTTGAGTCCCACGCGGCCAGGCATGGGGCGCTCCGGCCTGGCCTGTGCAGCTGCAGGGACTCTTTTGAGGTACACAAGGAGCTATGGGGCCTGGGAGGCCCAGCCAGGACCTAGTCTTGATGCCCCCAGCCCCGGTGCTAGTCCGGGTTTACCAAGTGAGGCCCCGGCCCTCCCCGCGCTCACCTGTGAGGATGTTCTTGAAGGCTTCCTCTACGTTGGTGGAATCCAAGGCTGAGGTCTCAATGAAGGACAGGTTGTTCTTTTCTGCAACAGAGGCCACACCTGGGATCTGCCTCTCGCTCTCCCCAACCCCAGGCATGGAGGGCAAGTGCTGAGCCACAGGACCAAAGGTGCACTCCTTAGGCGGGAAGCGGGCACCGTGGCCACGTCCCCGGCACTACAGGGCCCACTTGCCTCCCGCTGCTTCTCTAGGCCCTCTGAGCGCCCAGCATGGACACTCCCTGCCACACACCCCTCACCTGCGAAGGCGCGGGCCTCGTCGGTGGGCACGGCCCGCAGGTGGCGCAGGTCGCTCTTGTTGCCCACCAGCATGATGACGATGTTGCTGTCTGCATGATCCCGTAGCTCTTTCAGCCAGCGCTCCACATTCTCATAGGTCAGATGCTTGGCAATGTCATAGACCAGCAGCGCGCCCACGGCCCCGCGGTAGTACCTGTGGGCCACAGTGCAGTATGAGGGGTCCTTCAGCCCCATACAAGCTGCGCTGGCCCACGATGCACAGAATCCCACCCGCCCAGGGGACAAGGACCTGGAGAGGTACTGCAGGATGGTGGACAGAAGAACTGAGTTTGGGGAACAGCTGGAGGCTGGGAGGGGCTCAGAGAGAAGCACCCTTTGTGGTGGTGTATGTTTTTTGCAGAAATGGGCATTGACCCCAGGGCCTTTGAACTGAGGTACATTGTTTCTTTGAATCAGGATCTCTCCCAGCACAAGTAAGGACCCAAGAGCTGGGGTGTAGCCTCAGCTGGGTGCTGTTGTGCCTGAGGGGTCCCACAACTCTGGAGGCCCCCTGGGGTGCTAGCAAGAGCGCCCCTCCAGGTACCACTGCCTGGTCTCAGGAGCACTCCCACCCAACTCCTACACATCCCAGCAGGCCCCGCACCCTGGCCTGACACGCACGCGGAGGTGATGGCGCGGTAGCGCTCCTGGCCAGCTGTGTCCCAGATCTGCGCCTTGATGGTCTTGCCATCCACCTGGATGCTGCGGGTGGCGAACTCCACGCCGATGGTGCTCTTACTCTCCAGGTTGAACTCGTTGCGGGTGAAGCGAGACAGCAGGTTGCTCTTGCCCACACCGGAATCCCCGATGAGCACCACTTGGGGTGGGAGGAAGGCCAGGCGAGACTGTGTGAGGCCCCACATGGCCCCCCATCCCCCACAGACACCCCGCTGACTCCGTGACAAACAGACACCATGACCTCTGTGCACCTGCAGGCACCATAGTGACTGGTGCAGATGCAGCCGGCGTGGATGGGACAGCACTGCTGCCTGGCTTTGGTCCTCCAAGAAGGGCTGTCCCAGCCGGAACAGAGGGACATGCCAGGCAACCCTGCAGACAGGGTGGCTTCAGATTGCCAACCCCGAGCAGGGGATAGGCAGCCAGAGCAAACTGTATAGCTGGGGGCCCGGGCAAGTCACCTAACCTCTGGGTCACCATTTCCACACATGGGGACAGGAAGGCAAGCATTGGCTGTGTATGGGGTCAGGACCCACCCAGCATATAGCACACAGATAGGGACATGGGTGAGCAGCTGTCATCATGATTGTTGTGGCTTTGTATGGAGCGTGGGAAGGGTCAAAGTCCCACAGCATTACTGCTTGTGACGGTCTGTGCTGGTGTTTGAAGCGACCGCCCACTCATGTTTCCACCGGCATTCAGCCCTGCAATGACCTTTCCATGAGGAACAGGAATGCACCCCCTGGATGCAATCCAGAAGGTGGTCTGATTTTGTTTTTAATGGTGCTGTGGATTGAACCCAGGAAACACTGAGCTACAGCCCCAGTTGTTTTGATATTTTTTAATTTTTACTTTTGAGGGTTACGGGTCTAGCTCAGGGGTAAGGTGCTTGCCTGGCATGGTTGAGGACCTAGCTTCGAGACCCAGTACCACAGAACACAACAAAAGAAACGAGCCAGCAGTGGGATGACTGTAGCCGTTTCTCCCCCACTCCTGGGAAGGCTACACCCTGGTTGCAGCGCAGCCTGGGCCTGCCCCAGGCCTGCTCTTCCCTCAAAGCCTGTTCTCCTCCTAGCCCCAAGAGGGCGACAGGGGACAGGGAAGGCAGGCCCTGTCCCGCCTGGGCCCTCCCAGGCTCCCATCTCCTCAGTGTGAAAGCTCAAGTCCCCTCACAGGACCCCAGGTGCTCCATACTGCCTGCCGCCGACCCCCTCTGCCCTCCTCTGGCCCAGTCCTCCCAGAACAGGACTGAACCGTGGCCTTTGCACAGAGCTGGGGATGCAGCCATTCTAGTTTTTGTTTTGAGACAGGGTCTTGTTTTGAGACAGGGTCTAAGCTGTCTGGGCTGGGCTGGAATTGGTGATGCTTCTGCCTCAGCATCTTGTTCCCTGCAGCATCCTCAGGCCCTGAGTGGCAGAGCTCAATGCACGGTGAGCCCCAAATGTCTGTCTAGTGAGCTAATTCTGCTACCTTTTTTTTTTTTTTTTTTTTTTTTTCAGAACCAGGGATTGAACTCAGACCCTTGTACTTGCCAGGGAAGCATTTATTCCACTGAGCCATCTCCCTGGCCCCCAGTGAGCTAATTCCACAGGGGCTGGCAGAGCTTCTTGGGGCCACTTTTTCTGACATCCACGCACACTTGGAAAATGCTGGATCAGTCAACATCCTTGGGCTACAGGTGGAGACAGCCAGACCGGGCAGCCCCCCAGAATCCAACCCAGAACCCCTCTAGGCTGCTGCTTTAGACCCAACAATAGTTAAGAGCAAAAGAAGTCAGCGTGCATAACAGTGTCCACCATGCGTCAGCTCACACGGGACTCACACAGTCCACTGTATAGACGAGGAAACTGAGGTTCCCATGGGGCACGAGCTCAGGGTGCACAGTGAGCAGGGACATGGAGCCCGTTGGTCAGTGCAGGCCTGCCTCCCCACCCAACTATGTCACCAAGCGTGACACAGCCAGGACTGGCTGCCTGGGAAGCAATCCAGGTAGAAAGTGAAAGCAGACCTTGTGGACAAAAGCCCAGTTCTATCCCTCCCAGCTTGCATCCTCCCTGCTGTTGTCCCCCCTGAGCCCCTAGCCTGTGGCCCAGGCCTCTTGGTTCTGCCTTATGGAGGGCACTGGGGCCCCAGTGACCCCTGCCAGGAATCTGGAGGCACACACTCCTCTCCAACACCCCCCACCTGGGTCATGCTGCAAACTCCAGCACACCCTGTTAGCCTCCTCAGTGAAGGCCTCTGCACTCTGCCCATATCACCTGGCTTGGCCCGTGAGACATTTGACAAGTCCAGCACCCCTCTAATGACTGTGGGCGCCAAGTTCAGAGAATGATGTGGAAAGATGGAACCTGATGTGGGCTGCAGCCACGGCCGAGGTCTCCCAACCAAGAACTGGGCCCAGGACCTGTGGGCCAGGCTGGGCTGACTGGGAACACCAGTGGCCACAGAGCCCAGCCAGGGCCAGGCAGCTTTGCCCTCGGTTTTCCTGTCCTTCAGAATGGAATGGGAAGCCGGAATGGCAGCACTTGGAGGCTGAGGAGGAGGGTTGCAGTGAGTTTGAGGCCAGCCTGGCTATATAATGAGTTCAAGGCCAGTCTGAGCTACACGGTAAGACCCCATCTCAAACAACAAAGAATAGAGTGGGGGGCTCAGGCCATGCTGGGCATCCCCCATGACCCCACTTTCTCCCCCGCCTTGCTTCACTTGTACGGTTTTGGAGTCCCAGCAGCCCTGAGCCATCCTGGCTGACAATCTCCACCTAACAGCCATGTTAGGCCTCAGCTTGTCCAGTTCTAGGGGCCACCACCATGGGACCCACAAAGAGCCTCAGCATTTTCACTGCACCAGACCCAGAGCGGCCAGGTCCCCAGCCCACTGCCACTAGAGGGATCAGAGGACCAGGGGAGGCAAGCAGCCCCTGCCCAGGTGAGCCACAGGAAGGCCAGTCGCCTCGGCGCTCCCTGGCACTGGGCACCTGATGGAGAGAAGTGACCGGCTGGCCAGTGGCTGGGTGGGCCTATGCCAGGCTGGGCATGACAACAGCATTGTCAGGAGCACAAGCCATCTGCTGTCTTGGGGAAATAAAGGGCCCTTGAGGACACAGCCTCCGGCATTTGCAGAGAAGCCAGTCGGTTGCTTCAATAGCCGGGAAGTAGGCACCCTGGGCAGACCATTTGGCTCACAGAGAAGGCAGGCCCAGGTGGCAAAAACAGCACTGGAACTTCTCAGAGGAGGCATGAATGCTCTGTGAAGGGGGTTGTGCTGTAGGAAGGCTCCGCTCTTCTCTGGACATGGGCATCTGGAGCCGGGGTACCTGCAGGGTCCCAGATGCTATGTTTGGGTCCCTAAGCAGCAGGCCTGGGGAGGGCTTGTCCAGGCGGGAGGGCACAGAGCTCTGGCCCATTCCTTGGAGAGCAGCACTTCTCTCTCCTCCTCGGGCAGTGTGGACACGACCCAAAGGGCACTGCAGCCGCTTCCCATTCGAGCCAAGCCCTTGAGGGCCAGGTGGGCACTGACTGGCGAGGAGCTCTGGGAGAGCCTCAGCGGTCCCTGGGGACACAAGCGCTCCCACTGTGGGCCCTATAGCCCAATAGCCATCAGAGGAAAAGTCGGGATAACCTGGGGACCAATCAGCAGGCTGAGAAGATGGCCCCTGGTCGGCAGGATACATGTGAGGATCTATAATTAGGTGCAATAAACAGCTCCACTCTTGGGAGAAGAGGAATGTTTGAGGAGGAAAACAAGAGCACGTGGCGGGCCACTCTCGGGACCCACTGGCCTTGGCTACTGAGGTCAAGGGAGCTGGTGTGTGATGTGGCTGCCAAAAGAAGCGAGGGGGCAGGACAGGCAGCCAGGCCCCAGGCACCAGCTGTGGTCCCTCCATGCCAGGGGCTCAGATGGGGAGGATGACCGAAGCCCAGGGCAGGGCACAGGATACGGGGCTCCTAGGGGGCTCCCCACAGGTGGCAGGGCCAGAGAGCCACACAGTGCTGAGCTGGTGCTTGTCAACACTGCCAGTGCCATTGTGCGGTGGAAGCCATTCTGGGCCCAGGCCATTGCCCTGGCTGGAGAAGGATGAACATACTATGGGGCTCTGGGCCAGGGCCAGTGGTGCAGAGCTGTCATCCCAGCATTCGGGAGGCTGAGGCAGGAGGATCGCTGCAAGTTTGAGTCCAGCAGGCCTAGGGAGGGCTTTGTCCAGGCGGGAGGGCACAGAGCTCTGGCCCATTTCTTGGAGACCAGCACTTCTCTCCTCCTCCTCAGGCAGTGTGGACCTGACCCAAAGGGCACTGCAGCCACTTCCCACACGAATCAGGGCCACACAGTAAGTTCCAGGCCAGCCTGAACTATATAGTGAGACCCTGTCTCAAAAATCAAAACATAAGGAAGGCATTGACCAGTGGGGCACATTCACTTTTCTGGATATACGCCCCTCCATTAGAGCAAGTAATGTGGCAGAGTTGCCCTGCCTGCCCACTGGGGCCCTCCCTCCCTTCATTTTTAACTTTCCAGAGTCAGAGAGCCCTTTCTCTTCCTACTCAGTGGACTGGAAATCTGAGTGGACCTTCAGACACACACTGGAAGAGAACAGAGGTGGGCCCTGAATGACAGGTAAGTGGTGAAGCAGTGACCTGCGACAATCACCTTAAGAAGCGCTGGCCCTGTGGGTCACATGTTTGCTCCCAAGCAGCCGGTGAAGGTCAGCAGAGCAGCTAGCGAGCCCTGCAAAGGAGGCCTGCGGTGTGTTTCCAGGAAGCAGGCTCCGAGGCGAGTCCTGGGAACCACATTCTGCTCTGCTGCCCCTGACCTAGTAACTGTACTTCTGGGAATGTGCATCAGGAAAGTAACACAAAGGGCACAGAGAAGACACAGCGAAAGCTCGGAGTGGTTATTTATAACAGCAGAAGGCTGAGAATAATAAGGAGGGGATGACCACAGAAACTGGAATGTGAGAAGGGGGAAAGGTTCCATACGCTGGCAGTGCCACACGCCAGGCCCTGCCAGGACACGGAAACAGCTACCTCAGTGGGGCTGTGAGGCCGGGCACCTGCTACAGCAGGACGGTGTCGGAGCCCCCTGTCCCCAGAGGACCGGGCCAAGGCCTCCGTGGGGCTGAGACACAGAAGCCAAGAAGCTGGGATGCCTGAGCATGTATGGACCCCTGGAGCGAGCCTCACCAGGCCATGGGTGCCAGACATGTCTGAGCCACATGCATGTCACTCGAGCCTCTGGTCCCTCAGGTGAGGGTCACAGTCCAGCAGGATGGCCGGGGCCTGAGCGGGCAGGAACCATGAGCTGAAGAAGGAAGTGTGGGGGCTGGGGAGATAGCTCAGTACAATAAGCGCTTGCCTGGCAAGCTCAAGGTCCTGAGTTCAATCCCCGGTTCTCACCCCCCCCCAAAAAAAAAAAGAAAAGAAGGAAGTGTGATGAATCCAAGACCCAGTTCCAGGACGTGAACCCCCCCAACTCGCTTCCTCAGTGGTAAAGCCCAGCGCTGGCCAGTGTTCAATGCTATCCTGTGAACATTTCCCAGTCTGTACCACAGAGAGGCTGAATATAAAGTGCTTGGAAAAGTGCAGGTTCTGGGTCAGGGCTACGAAGAGTGAACACACCAACTGGTGCTGCATGCACAGGCACCGCTTCACCTAATCCCGGATCAGCAAGCACTACAATCTGAAGTTGCCCAGGAACACACATTCGCGGTCCTGTCCCCATTGTCCGCCCCGCCCCCAGAGGGCCCGCCCCACATGCCCCTCCAATCAGGACTGCCCACTACCGTCCGGGCCCAACCCACCTCTTGCCCCGCCCATAGCAACTAGGCCCCTCCCCTAAAGGCCCCGCCCCCATCCCGAGTCGAGCTTTCAGCCCAGCCCGCCAAATCCTGGCACGGTCCCGCCCCATCCGCAGGCCCCTCCTCTAACGGCCTCTCCCACAGCCACGGGCCCCACCCCCTCTGGGTCCCGGCCCCGCCTCGGCGCATCCCGGGTCTTGAGGCTTCTCTGGGCCGCCTGCTTTTCACAGCCCCGTGCTCTGAGCGAACTGACAGTGCCTGGCCTGTCCCCGCCGTCGAGCTGCCCGATCCGGCGGGCCTAAGCCACAGGCAGGCTCCAGCTTGGGCCTAGCGGCCCAGAGCATGACCTCCGCCTGCCTGTCCATCGCCTCGCCGCCGTGCCCATCCCCGTCCATGCCCTACTGGGCGCACCTTTGAATAGGTAGTCATACTCGTCGTCCCGGGTCCCCATTGTCCTGGCGCTTCCGGCGGGATCGGCGACTCCGCAGCCCCACCACAAACACCCGACGGGGGCGGAGCCGGCGCTTCGCAGAACGGCGCTCTGTTACCCAATCAGCAGCAGAAGGAGTACCAACCGGCACTCAATCCAACCAATCAGAGGCACAAATAGAGCTCCGGGGGTGGGTGTCTCCTGGGATCCGCCCTCCTCGCCCTCGGTCTCCTGGAGAAAGGCGGAAGGAATGCGGACCTTTCTGAACTGACAGCCACCATAACCTATCAGAGGCATATTTAGGAAGGTGGGGCGGAAGACTGGAAGAATGAAGCAGATTGACGGAATATGCAGCCAATAAGAGACTTGATTCTGTCCCTCGCCTACTACCAGAGGACCTGTCCAAAAGGGAAAAGGGGCTGCGTCCAGGTGATGTTACACTGATTAACGTCCCGATGATGTCATAGGTCGTTCTGCGCCGCTCTGGCCTCGCCCCCCCAGCCCCAAAATGATCATTTCCGGAGGCCTCTTCTCGGGAAGGACTGGCTGTGTTCTCTGTTGCAGTTTGTATCAGTATTCTGAGTTACTGTTTTATGCCTCTATTTATGCTAGCAGGGACAAAACCCACCTGAGTGAACACATACTGACTCAACAGTCCACATTTTAACAAATATTCGGGGATTGCTGGTGTAGCAAGTGGTTAAACGCTTGCTTAGCGTGTAAGGCCCTGGATTTCATCCCTAGCGTGGCAAAAAAAAAAAAAAAAGAAAAGAAAGATAACAGCTCAAAATAACTGCTCTCCAATAGGTTTTGTAGCTTCTGACATTAAAGCAGGTACTTATTTTATATATTTAAATGGGCCGCAGCTAAACAAATTAACCTATCTGTCCCTTCCAATGGCTATCCTTGAGTATGTAAAATCAGCACTCGTGGCAAATTTTCAGTATGCCTTGCAATGTCTCTAACTACAAAGCAGCATCGCTTTCTTGATCCAGTGATCAGTTTAATTCCTGGCTCATCAACAGAGTAACGGTTTGAGGAAGGCAGGGATGGTCTCTCTTGGCCATGGCTGTGTACCCCGGCTCAACACTTCCGTGGCATCCCTGATCCAGCCTCATAGAGCTGGTGGTCTGAGGACAGGTGAGTCAGTCAAGAAGCAAGAGGTCGGGGTGAGGGAGATGGCTCAGTAGAATAAGTGTTTGCCTGGCAAGCGCAAGGGCCTCAGTTCAATCCCCAGTTTTGCAAAAAAAAAAAAAGCAGCAAGGGGTCAACCATAAATAAAGCCCCCTGGAGGAAGAAGCTTCTCACTGAGTCCTGTAACAAGAGTGGTCTACAGTCAGGCAGGGGGGGGGGGGGGGGGGGGTGGGGTGGTTGGTAAAACAAATTCCTTGGGAACAGCAAGAATTACAGTTGATTTTGCCCGCGGCTCTGTAGGTTGGGAAATGCAAGAGCATGAGTTCTGGCCAGAGCCTTTTCGCTTCATGATACCAGGTGGCAGGGAGCATCACAGCCGATCACCTTCTGCTCTTCTTGTCCTTGATACTTAAGATAGAACTCACAGCCTTTGCACTGAGCTACATGCCCAGCGCTTCTTTTTCATTTTGTATTTTGAGCCATGGTCTTCCCTGGTCTGAAATCCCATCTGTAGTCTTTCTACGGCCTCAGCCTTCCACCTTCCAGAGTGCTGAGTACCACCCTGCACCACCGTGCTTGGAGACCATGCTCAGACCATTACCGGGCGGAGGAAATGAGGGGAAGAGTATTCAGGCTGAGAAAGTAGCAAGTGAGAGAAGGCTTCAAAGAGTCTGCCTGGCCAGGACACTGTAAGGGCTGCCAGGGAGGGGCTCAGCAGGCTGAGTTTAGGAACACCCTAAGACCTCGGGCTGCCCAGCAAGGACCTCTGCCAGCAAACTCCTGGGCAGTGGCCTTGAAGCCTTGGATATTCCCATCTTTATCCCCTCCTCACCCCTGATAACCATCCCCCTTCCTGCCTACTTTATAGCCAGGAGTCTCTATGCATTCCAGCCTGGCCTGGAGCTCACTGTGTAGCCCAGGCTGGCCTCAGACTTGCAGCCATCCTGCTTTCGCCTCTCAAGTGTGGAACTGCAGGCACCCACCACCATCCCCGGTTTTCCTCATCGTTCCTGTGGAAGGCCATCCTTAAAAAAACTGACCCAGGGCCCAGGAGTGTAACTAAATCATAATGTGAGGCCAGAAGCTCTGGTTCAGACCCCAGGATCCCACATCCCATCTCCACCCAAAAAGGGAAAAAACCCTCAAAATTCTCTTCACCATGAATTTGCTCCTGTCTCAGTTGATGCCCACCTCACTCCACCACGGCTCACACTAATAACAATGCAGTCACAGGCACACACACGTGCTTTGGCCAACAGTGGACCACACCCAGCCCAGGACGGTGGTTCCATAAATGTATGATGGAGCTTCAGGGCACCATGGCAGGTGACTGACGGATCATCCCTTGAGCCTGGGAGTTTGAGGCCAGCTTGGGAAACACAGTGAGAGCCCAGGTAATTGGAAAAGAGACTATCTTGCCAGGCATATTGGCCCATTCCTGTAATCCCAGCACTTGGGAGGCTGAGGCAGGATGATCCCTGCAAGGATAAGGCCAGCCTGAACCTCATAGGAAGACCTTGTCTCAAAAGAACAAACCATGAAAAATAATAATGAGATCTAGCAAGATAGCTAACGGACTAAGCACCTACTTCGGCAAGCGCAGACCAGGGTTCAATCCCTGGTCCCGCATGCTGCCCCGGCCCTGCTCCGGGGTCACACTGAGCCAGCAGCGACCGAGTCTGGGCCTGGTGGGTCACACTTGTAATCCCAGCTCAGGAGAGACTGAAGACAGGAAGGATCACTACTAGTCTGATCTGTGTAGTGAGACCCTGTACTAAATACATTTTTAAAAAAAAGAAAAGAAAAACCCAGTGCAAGGCCCTTCATATGGAGATGAGCCATTTGGCACTGTGTTATGCACTTCCTGTGTGGTACCTTTATCGTCATTTTAGAGCATATTCCGGCCAGGGCAGGCAGAAACACTGAAAAATCCAGAAACACCCAGGATTGGGACGCGGAATTATTTTGCATCAACAGGCACTGACTGGGATCATTCCTGTAATATCAGGCCCTCAATGATGGTGGGCTAGCATTTGTATAGGGTCCCTATACAAATGGGGGGTTACAGAAAGTCCTCGGCTATCTTTCATTGGTTCTCTTTTGGCTGTGCAGTTCAGGCTGGCCTTGAGCTCGCTTGTAGCCCAGGCTGGTCTTGAGCTCACAACGTTCCTCATGCCTCAGCCTCCCAAGTGCTGGGGTTACAGGTGATTTGATTGATTCTTACAATATGAGTCACAGTGGCCAGCTATGCCTCATGAGTCACACGAGCCATTTCTGAGAAACAAAAGTAACAGGAACTGTTACATGAGCAACTAACAGAAATTGAAGTATATTGACTAGGGGTTTTATTTTCTGCTACATTCTTTTTTTTTTTTTTTTTTTTTTTTTTTTGAGAGAGAGAGAGAGAGAGAGAGAGTGGTGTGTGTGTGTGTGTGTGTGTGGCCAGCTCAGCCCACCAGGGGGCGCGGCTGACTGGCATGTGGTGCTGGGGGATTGAACCGCGGTCCCTGATGCCTTGCCAAGCTTGTTCTAAGTAGGTGCTTTAGACCACTGAGCCATCTCTCCAGCCCCCTTCTGCTACATTCTTACAAAGCACAAGTTTAGCTGGGTGTGGTGGTGCACACCTGTCATTCTAACTTGGAAGGCTGAGGCAGGACTGCTGCAAGACTGAGGCCAGGGTGGGCTGCCTAGTGAGAGTAGTTCCTAAAAAACAAAAACCCACACCTCCCCACAAAAGAAGCTTATTATAGTGCCTGCTTAGGCAGACGCAGGGGCTGGAAGTCTGATCCCCTGGCCTGCGGTTCCAGCCCTGCTCCCAGGGCATGCTGAGCTGGTGATTGAGACTGGGCATGGCGGTGCATGCCTGTAATCCCAGCTCTTGGGAGACTGGTCACTGGAGGATCACTACGAGTCTGATCTATATAGTGAGACCCTGTACACCCTGTATACCTTGTCCTAAATACAAAAAAAAAAAAAAAAAAAAAAAAAAAAAAAAGCTTATTATAAGGAGTCTACTGTGTTTTCTCCAGAAGTAGCTTCAACAATTTCAAGCTGTCTCAGTGTTTTGGTGTGGTGGTCACACCTTTGATCCCAGCACCTTGGAAGGCAGAGGCAGGAGGATCACAAGTTCAAGCCTAGCCCGGGCAACCTAGAAAATTAGTGAAGCCTGGTCTCAAAATAAAAAGATAAGAGAAGGGAAGCGGCCAGGGTTCAATCACCCAGTATGCCATGCTGGCCCTGCTCCCGGCAGCACATTGAGCTGGGGATTGAGACTGGGTGTGGTGGTACATGCCTGTAATCCCAGTGTTTAGGAGGCTGAAAACAAGAGAATCACTACAAGTCTGATCTATGTAGTGAGGCCCTGTAGACCCTATGCTAAATTAAAAAAAAAAAAAAAAAAGATAAAAAGGGCTGGGTTGTAATGTATCTGTGTGGGTTCAGTCCCCAGTACTGAAGATTGATAGATGATAGATTTTATTATTTATTAATGTATGTGGTACAGGATCTCACTACACAGCTTGGATTCTCAAAGAGATGCTCCTGTTTTCAGCCTTCCCAGCACTGGGATTACAGGCATGCGCCACCAGCCCCATCTCAGTGGCCGGCTCAGCATGTGCTGCCAGGGATCGAATCCTGGGCCCTATGCTTGCCTCAGCAGGCGCTTAGCATGCTGAGCTATCTCGCCAGCCCTGACAGATTTTAAAAAGAAGTTGAATTCCCTGGCTGACTTAGCCAGAGTCCCAGAGAAGCTCATGGGATGGGAAAATGACAGTGGTTTCCTTTAGCTCCAAGAGCCCCCTTCCTCCCTGGGGACCTTTGGCATCAGGTTTGGAGGAGACTCTGGGCTCAGCATACAAGCAGATGTTGTTTCCCCAAATACATGTCCTCAAGACTTGGCTTCTTGGTTACTTTACTCTTGTTACTGAGGCAAAAACAAAAACAAAAAACAAAACAAAAACCG